GATTGATCTGTTCATAGGCTGGGGACCTGCATGTGTAAAGCTGCCCTACAGGCAGCATAGATAGACGGTAATTTGGATAACAACAGAGAGAAAAGACAAAATTATTTTGAGAAGCGGAACAGAAACTCCATCAGATTATTCCTCCTCTTTCCTCTTTTTCCTAATTGGAGCAGTGCTCTGATGTTATGTAAGGGTTAGAAACGTCTTCCCAATTGCTCACACAGGTCCTTATAGTGAAAAAGTGAAACTCATCAAAAGGATGTCTTGTGATATCTCTAATCGCATTTCTGATTGAACTGCCTTTCTGTTTTTTTTTGTTTTTTTTTTTTCTAATAGAAGAAATATTAGCATTTTTGATTATTTTGAGCAGTTTGTCACAGTTAAGTAACTTAATCCCAAAGAAAGAATCTGTATGAGATGACCTGTTCCATTTCCATGCTCTTAAGTAAATGAGTTGTTTCATAATTTGGGTTTCAATATACTTGCAGTACTATAGAAATGTTGACCCTGGAGTTACTTTAATATTGCATGTCATTATAGATCTCACCATTATTTCACCTCCTATGTGAACTGAGTTTTGTTGTTATCTTGTTTTCCCATCCTCTGAGTACCCTTTGGCAGCATGAATATATTTAACAGTGCCAAGTTGGGTGTTGTGTTATTGGCAAAGAATGTATCCTCCCACTAAGTTTTATTCTGGAGTTTCACTTTTCTCTTTCTCTGAGGGCTGAGAGGTGACTGAATGGAACATTGATCACTGTGCCTTCACTTGAAGTGCAAACAGGAAACTGTAAGAACTTCTGGTTCTATAATGACATTAATGTGTTTGGGTGCACATGCTTCTGATCCACAGCTTCTCATTGTGGAACGGTGTGTCCATTGGAGGAAAGGGCAAGAAGTTTGTCACATTAAAATCATATCACAGCTTTGCTAATAGCCCTGAGTCCCAACCAAGCTGCTGAGCCCCGTGGATCTTCTCTAAGAGGACTAAAGCCACCTCTTTCCACAACTTCATTATTATCCTTCCAGTATTCTACATGTGTATATGCACCACAGATACAAGGCATGAATAGCTGCCTCCTGTCATAGTCTCAGTTCTGGACACGATTAGTAGAAAGTTAGCCAAGGAATCCTTTCTGTGCTGAGTTGCCTGCTCTATGCAGTCCCACATTCATCTGTGGGTTTCTGAGCCTTGCTTTGCTGCTCTGCTGTGCACTTCTCATTTGTTTGAATGGCGTTGCTAAAGACAAATCTGTCTGTTTTGAGCCTGACCTCTGTTAGACTCCTGCCAGAAACCTGTAGTGAATGTGCTGGCTTCGTGGTGCAGGTGATGCCCTCATTTCTTTCTTTCTTTCTTTGTCCTGGTACTCTGCAGGCTATCCTTCTAGTGGATATTTCAAGATCTAATTTTGTCTTCCATATGTGCTCTAAAATGACTTCTGAGTTCTGGCTATTTTCTACTGTATGTCAATCTTTTTGCTTTGTCCTAGAAGGTTTTTTTTTTTGCAATGCCTTTTCAAAAATAGAAGGAAAAAAAAAAGGAAAAAACCTCTTTATCTGATCTAGTAACCAAGTTATAAAAACTGGATGTCAGTTGTATCATAACAATCTGACGAGATATTGACTCTTAAGGAGAAAATTAATGTCATTCTTTCACAGAATTTAAAAATAAGACATCTCACAACTATAATAAGACATAGATTTTGTTTGCATACTAGTTCTGCAAATTCTTTAATTTTTTTTCATTTGCTCCATATATGGGAGCTATTATGGCAAACTTCATAATTCACTTTCACTTCCTTGAAACTAGAAAGCTGACCAGAATGGCACCAGGCATTCCAGCACCATAGGGGAATTTGTACATGTTTCATTCATAAGCAGCTTTTTAAAACAAATCTATTCACATTAAGTAATCTGTTTCTGCTCTTAGATTTTTGTCTAAGAATTAATTGGGAAATTCTTAGTTCTTAATTCTTAGACAAACATTTTCAATGGGAATATACTTTCTTGCAACTATTAAAAAAGCCTGAAAAATTAGGTACTTGATTGGGTGGGGGATAGTTTCTTTTTGTCATAACAGGAATAAAATTACCTTCTTAATTTTTGCTTTGCCTGTTGACACTTTAAGGCACTGTATATAATTTTGAAAAAAGATGCTAGCTGAAGAGAAGTTGTCCAATCCCTGAGTTTTTCTGTGGAATCTTTCTGCCTGAGTGGAGTTGCACTTTTCACTAATTGCTCCAGCATCTGATGAGCAGCACCAACAATGTGGTGAAGATCACTTGGATTACTTGCATAGATGGCTACCCTCTGCTACAAGCTGCATTATTTCTTTCTCTGTGCCCTCCTGCTGCTTATGGAGGACACTGAATAGACAGGCAGCATCATAATGTTCCTGTCTATTTGCATATCCTAGGCTGCCCATCACTGAGTTAAGATATTCCAGTCTCAATCTGTAAGATTTTTATTTCATTACAGGTATTATGCCAGTGTATCTGGAGAGCTAATGTGAAATGGCCCAGGCTTTTTTTAGTGGTTTCTGAAGTGTGAACAAGGGGCACAAACTGGAACACAGGGAGTTCTGTCTGAATATGAGGAAGAACTTTATTGTGAGGATGACAGAGCAATGGCACAGGCTGCTCAGGGCGCGTTGCTAAGTCTCCTTCTCTAGAGATATACAAAACCCATTTGGATATTTTCCTGTACAACCTACTGTAAAGGACCTGCTTTAGCAGGAAGTTGAACTCAATGATCTCCAGAGATCCCTTCCAACCTCCACGATTCTTTGATTCTGTGACCCAGAGCAGCTCTTTTTATTTCAGTATGCACATCTTTGGGTACTCTGTTTTTATGTTTGGAGAGTAGGAATAGCACTAAACTGAATGTAGATTGTTCAGTTCACATGCCTCAAAAACAGGAAGTCTCATTGCTGCAAGTTCTGCTCACATATCAGACTCTTTGGGGCTGACCAGGTGTGTTATCTCAAAAGGTTTTTCCAAAGGGGTGAATAAAGACCCTGGGCAGGGGTGATTCAGTAATGTCTGGCAAATTCTGGAAAGGATTTGACAAAAATGTACTTTGTTTTAGAAGTGAAGGAAGTATTTTGTCTTCAGAATTTGCATGGAGTGTTTAGCTTAGCCTTACACATTGCCAAGCACTGACAGTGCTTCAGAGAACTGAAACATCATAGGAAATAGGCATGTGTGCCATTTCATCAAAGTCAAGTAGAACTCGTGCATACACCCGAGGACAAGATTTATGCTCTTAAATCCTTCTATCGCAGCATGTGAAGGACTTTTAAAACTGCCTGCTGATTTTACAGCTGAAGTAATTTATTTCTGTGATATTAAATTAAAAAAAAGTAATGCCTCATAGAGCTTGAGGGGAGATAATGTTGGTTTTTAGTAGCTTTTGTTTCCATCTGTGTGGTGGGAGATTTGTCCAATTGCCATTACTTGCAGTTATTAATGAAACAAATTTCACACAACCTTTCAAAATTGGTGTACCATCCAAATTAAGCTTTTTTTTTTTTTTTTTTTTTTTTTTTTTCCTGAACTGCTGCATGTTTTGGAACGTGCCATCCTGTGGCATAGAACATATCCCATTGTCTCAGTCTGAAAAGCTCGAACTTTGTGGCAAAGATTCACAAAGGAATTTTAGATTTCTGTGGTCTCTGTCAGCTAATAGCTGCTGCTTCTTTAGGAGCATTGTAACATAGGTAGGAGGCTGCTTCTGTGTTTGTGCCTAAGTGCAGTCACTGCCTGTGGTGGGGGAGACTCCAGGCAGAAGACCAGAGGCTAAAAGGGATTTTTTGGCTTCAAATGTTGCATTTCCTTTCGTAAAAGAGTAGTTGCTTACTTAGCACAGCTGCACCGACAGTCTTCCTTTTTTGCTTTTACATGCAAAGATTCGTTTGTATAGCCATGAGCTGTTTTTTCACATCACTGTGAGATTTGTGTTTTCCTGTCTGTGTTGGTAGATATTAGATAGCAGCAAGACTTCTATCCGGTCACCAAGAGGTTTGCTGCATTTTGTCCCTTTGATAGGGTTAGAAAGCCATTTTCCTTTTCAAGTTCAAAATTAAACTTCAAAATGATATTGCAATTCAGAGAATCAAAATCGCTATTGCTTAGTGTATTAGCTTGAGTGAGGCAGCTTTTTAATTCAGAATTTCAGCTGTAACAAACTTCGGGTTGAACGGCTGAATTGTCATCTAGCTTGTCAATCAATTTTTAGCAATTGTAGGAAGGAGTTTTTCGGGCAGTTTTGTGGTATTACGTGTTGATTCTGAGCAAAAAAAAAAAAAAAAAAAAAAAAATAGCTGCCTCTTTTTTTAGTGCTTACAGTGTAAGTCTTAAATCTGGATTGCTTTAAGTATTTGGAAAGATCACTGCTCTGGAGGGCGCTTTGTTTCTCCAGCCTGAGGTCATGCCCATGCATGCTCAGCTTTTCTGGCCAGCAAGGCTGTGGGCAGAGCAGTGCGTGCCACTGGGTTTTAGCAAACAGCCTGCTTTAGCATGCTTTCATTGCTGTTCTACACACACTGAACATTTCCTCAGCTGGGATTACTGTATGGAGTGTTGGATCTATAAACCCATTAAACTACTGAGAAATAAGTCTTGCCTTTTGTGACATGCTGGTGGTACAGATGGTAACAAAAATATTGGCACTTTCTGCTTGCAGATGTCTGAGGTCAGCTATCTGTTAGCGGGAACATTTGGAATGAAACAGTTTCTGTCCTTGAGGGTAGTTATGTGTAACAGACTAGCTGACAGCCTTCACCAGTATTTCCATTCGTGCATAGTAGGTCTGTAAGCATTTCTTTCTTTTATATGAATCCTGTGTTTAGATATTCTGTTCATAACATTGGCTTAACCTCCAACTCTTTCTTCAACTCCTTCCATTCTTAACTTTCCCCACTAGTATATGAATTTTATTAGCAAGGAATCCTGTTTTGTATTTTAATCATGCAAATAATCAAAACTTTCTGTCTTTTTCAGTAATAGCTGGTTTTCGAGGAACAGTCCCACATGGCCTCTCACTGGAGATTGGAGACACAGTTCAGATACTGGAGAAGTGTGATGGTGAGTTCACTGGCTGGACTTCCACTGATAATGAAGGATCCTTTGGTGTTGGCTTGAACACCACCGCTACTCATTAGTTTTCTTAACTGAATAAATTTTTGAAGTCATCAATATTAAGAAAACATGGTGCTCAGGGAAGTGATTTAGTGGTGGGTAGTTAGTCAGGGCAGTAAGGTTAGGTTGCGGTTGGACTTGATGATCTTTAAGATCTTTTCCAAATGAGTTTTTATTCATTCATTAAATAGGTGATGTTTTGCTGTTTGTTTGTTTGTTCGTTTTTAATTTTGGGATGATATACTATTAACCTTGTAAGAAACATTTCTACAGAAGGCAAAGGATCTGTCATTTTGAACTGGGTATATTATGAATCTTGTAGAGTAATGCAATCAAAACATTTGGATTATGAAGTTCAAAAATGATTTGTAAATGTTTGCAATGAATATAAATCTGTTTCCTCTTTTGCATTAGACTTTCTGTCCAGTGCAAAATATATCTGGGTTGCATTGTTAGAAGCAATTGGGGATAAGGGTAAAAGAGTAATTCCTGAAAATAAGTGTGAATTAAGTCATCTAAATATGAGTTGGTTTAAACAAATTACCTCTCGTTATGTGGAAAGTACTCTAAATGAGTGCAGTCTGACATCACTGCATATTAGTTGTATCTGTCCGAAAAGAAAAATGAAATCTATTTTACGTCTGGAAATGACTTGCATATTTTGAAAAACAAAAATGTTCTTTCTTCACAGGTTGGTACAGAGGATTTGCCTTAAAAAACCCCAATGTTAAGGTAAAGATCAATTACAGTTTTACACTTTGGCAAAATGTGTATTTGCTTTTAAAAAAGTTTATAGTATCCTTGTAAGTAGATGATATTTACCCTTGAAAGAAAATTGGAGCTTAGTGTTAAGTATATTATTGATATTGCATGAATTAAATTTGGACAATGATTACACTTCTCAAAGGCTCTTGTGCATTTGGATGACAAATCCAAGGCTCTGGCAAACTTTCTTTTAATCTGATTATTAGAAGCTAAGTTAAAGGGAAAAGACTACCAAGAATGGAAACTGCAAATAATGTTAGAAAAGTTAATTAATTAGACTATGCCTATTTTCTTGATGGTATATATTGGTTCACAACAGCCATTGGAGCAATATGTGGAGTAGCAGTTGAAAAAAATTTGTCTGTTTCCACATAAAAGAAGTTTTGTCTTTTTTTTCCTTGTTGTGTAATCTTTGATTTCCATGGGAGTGTAGCTGGTAGAATTCACTGTTTGGTTTTTGTTGTGTTCAGACATGAAATATGATGTTATTCATACACTTATTTTCTTCAGCATTTGTTCATCTTGAATGCATTTTAGATTTTCCTGTCTTAACCGTATTTCTGTTTTCTTACTTTCCTGTTGACTTAGGTCTGTCAGTATAAAGTACTTGTTCTTCATATGGGAAAAACCATTTCAAGACTTCTTTTCCTTCAACAGTACTGAAATCACTTGTTTTTCCTTAAACTCATGTTGTCATCTTAGTCATCTTATCTCTTTTTTTTTTCTTTTTCCCTTTCCTAATTCGTTTCCAAGCCTCTTCAGCTGCAAACGAGGGCATATGACATATAAATTTCAGAAGTTTCTAGGGGTTCCTATCATGCATGTCACCTGTTTCTTGTCCCTAAGCTTTCAGGCTCTGGTCACATGAATTTGTTTTGCTTTATGTGGAGGGTCAGTGTGAGAAATAAATTTAGCCAGGGTCTAATCTGACGTTTTCTACTTTGACCTCATTGATAAATATTACAATTTGATTTATGAGACTTGAGCAGTTGGTATTTCTCACATCTTCTGTGTCTTTTGTTGCAGTTCTCACCACATGTTTGCTGTCATTTTCTTTATGGTCTGTCAAATGTGTTGATAGAAGTTATGAATAGGTTTTCTAAACATGACTTGATGTGTGAAGGAACAAGATAGATATTTTCTACTTTCATAGAAAAAAAGGAAGGCAAACAGTTTTACGAACTGGATTTTTCAAGGGACCCTCTCCAAAAGTAAAATAAGAACACCTATTATAAGTCAGCTTATAATTGGAATTGCTCTGTCAAAATTCTCCTGTTGTTATTCCAGCAGCTTGGATGCTCAGAGAAATTGTCTGTGGCAGCTGTTCTGCAGTACCCCTATGTATGCACCATCCTCATTTCGGGGACATTGTTACAAACGCCAAAACTGCACCTCTTACTGTCCTCGGGAGGTGCCCTCCTGAACTACTTCACACTGCTGAGGAGAAGGAGTATTCTCAAGGGCAGCTGCTATTACACAGTAGATGTCTTTTTTTTCAAAAGTCTAACAGTAGTTTGTGTTATAAGAAAATTGGGCACCTTCACAGTGGAAAGCTGTATGTAGCTGGGCTTGTAATAAGGAAGGGCACACAGATATTTTCCTATGCTGCATTATGTAGCTAGCAGTAGTGTATTATATTCTAAGCCAGAATTTGGAAGTTGAATTGCTTAATTTTGCTTACCATTATGATTAATGACGGTTAGTGTGGTGTAAGTGCTGTGACACTGTTATCCATGCAAAAGAGCAGTGGAGAACGCTCAGCTAACTAGGAAGGACCACTCCTGTCTGAACACCATTAACTTTATTTATTTTGAAAATCTGTACTGAAGAGATCTTGTTAAGATCCTGTTGGTAAAAAAATTTCTCAGGGGAAATAATGATAAATTATTTAGGATAAATGAGCTGTCAAGCAATCTTATACATGCTTTACAAGTTTATCTTCTAATTTTCTTAAATATTGAAAGATAAACTCTACTGAAGGCATTTTAATTTCCTTTAGATCTGTACTGTGCATATATTGAATTCTTTTTTGTGTGTGCTTGTTGGTAATTATTTGGAGGACTTTCAATTCAGCATGCATTTGCGTATTAAATGATGCTTTAAGATTACTCTCCAAACTCACTAAAGGGAATTTTTTGGTTGTTTTTACCTAACCTATTTTGTTTTTCAGGGTATCTTTCCATCCAACTACATTCACTTGAAAAATGCATGCGTTAAGAACAAAGGGTAGGTGAAATTTTGGGGACTCACATATTTATACACGGTAACTTACTTGTGCCAAAGAACATTTGTAAATCTGGCAAGGAGTGATGATTTTATTATAATATCTCATCTTAAGCTTTTGGTCAGAAGACTTGAAATGTCTGTCCTTAGCTAACATGGTGCTCCTGCATGGTAGTAAAATCAGTGTGTTATATGCTTGAAGAATCACAGAATCACAGAATCACAGAACTGTAGGGGTTGGAAGGGACCTCCAGAGATCATCATGTCCAACCCCCCTGCCAAAGCAGGTTCCCTACAGCAGGTCGAACATGCAGTATGCCTAGGAATATCAGTCTGTGTTGCCTAGAGTAAAGAGAAAACAGTCATGTCTTCACAGCCTGGTGTTAAGTTTGGTTTAGAAAAAAGGTATTGCCCTAATTAGAAATTATTCTGTAGAGAAGCATTTGTTTAATATTAGTAGTTGTTTTCTTTAAAGAGACCAGCTGTACCATGGCAGACAGCTGACATTTTACAAAAACAAATGTTAAGATTAAGGATCAATTCAGTGGCAAAAGATTTCACTAAAATTGTAAAAGAATAGAGATGTTCTTTTCCTTACTGCCTTCCTTCAGGTGATGAAAAGCAAATAGCTATTCTTGATAATGACTGATCTCATTTCATTTTTAGAAGAGTTAAAAAAAAAAAAAAAAAGGAACAATTGATTAAAATTAGTACAAAGTTTTTTGAAACTAGAATGTTCTGAGTAAAATAAAGTGATTTTTTTTTTGGAAATTTAATACTTACTTTGAAAGTAGCACTTTTAAAAAGTTACACTCGGCAGTGATGTTAACACAGTCTTTTCCAAAGTTTTATGTAATTTGGGAGTGTTCACATTTACGTAATGGTTTAAAATCTCTTTAAATAAAAGCATTTATTATCAAATTAGATGGAGGCCTATAAAAACAGGTGTGGATGGCTTTGATTTTGGGTGCTTGGATGACTGTGTAGGTCAGCGTTTCCTGACTGGCAAAAATGAACCTTGAAGACTTTTTTATATATTTAATATTTGAATGTCTCATTCACACAGGTGAAAATGAGAATTGCAATGCTGCTCAAAAGAGTTGTTTGCTATAGAGTTCAGTGTACCCATGTTTTATTATACCCTACGATCATTTCTCTTTTGAAAGTGATTGTAGGTTAAACTGAATGTTCAGTGAAATAAAATTGTTGTAAACTGTCAGCAAAGCTTAAGTGTAGAATAATCTTTTCTTAACAGACGCCATGACAATGTTAGCAGGGAGTTCAATCTTATTTGTCTGCATTTTCTTCTGTAGTCGGTGTTTCCTGTTCAGGTGATGTACAGAGCATCAGGGCTGGGGGTTCTCACATTGTTAACTTGATGAAAGAGAAATTATATCATGAGAAAAGTACTTTAGGCGTGATACAGACTTTTAAAATGTACTGTATGTAAGAACAAAGTGATAGTGATGGTGGTATATGAAGTGATGTTATGATTTAGTCTTTAGTCTTGATCAAGCCAACTCAGGTTTTTCTTGCTCAGCATTGAAAAATCAGGAACTCACTTGTACTGTACCAATTTTATTTTCAAGTTTAATATACATTTTCAGCTGAAGAAATTACATTTTTTCTATAAACAGATGTGTTTAAAAAGTGTGGCAGCAGTCGCTGACTTGCAATCTAACCTAAAGTGGCAAGATCATTTTGAAATCCTTTGAAAACCACGGGAAATTACTTTGACATAAAAGTAGTGTTTGATGTGCTTATCTCATGGCAAAACGCTTGCCTTGACTTCTCTAGGACCAATACTTTCCACGAGGATTAAAGAAAATGTATAAATAAAAAAGTCTTGAGGGTTGAAGGAACTCCCTTGTAATTTAATTGACATTGCTGTTGGCAGGAGGAAGTCTTTATGTTAGTAACCGTACTGTGATTTGTAATGTTTATGTAATACCATGTGTTCTTCTGCATGTTTCAGACAATTTGAAATGGTTATTCCAACAGAAGATTCTGTTATTACAGAGATGACATCAACTTTAAGAGACTGGGGAACGATGTGGAAACAACTCTATGTGGCAAGTACTTTGAATAAGTTGCTTTGATTGAATACCAGCTCGAAAGACCAGATACGTTGTTAAAATACTGTTTTTCCTGCATGAAAAAAGAAAAAAATATAATTAAAGGTAGTGGACATTTTGTGATTCTCTTTTCCTATTGGATTTATTTGATTGTTGCTTTTCCATTTATTTTTTTTTTACTTGTCTTTCGTGGTTTAATGCTCACCCTGACCCTGTAAATAAGTCAAAGAATCTACAATTCTTATTTTAATATAACTTTAAAAATAATTAAATGTGGAAATGTCAGACTCCTTGACTGGTATTATTATCATACCTATAAATGATAATAGCAGATCCAATACATTAATTGGAGGGAAAATAATCTTAATGGTTGAGTGACCAGAATATGTATATGCAAAGAGAAGAAGAAGAAAAAAAGACTTAGAACATTATTAATAAATTGTATGAAATATAAAAAAGAACTGCATTTTCAGGCAAAGTATTATATAAATAACATTACATTTTCAGTTATGGAAAGTCCCTAAGCCAGTTGATTTGATTCATGCTCATTTTCTTATAGATTTTATTTTCTTTTACATCTACACATTCATAAGTACCAAGGCATGTCCATTTTACTTGACAAGGGTCATTTGTATGTGATGCAAAGATCAAAGGATGCCAGCTGTTGAGTCCTCACTGATAAAGGGAGTCAGAAGTGGTTCTTCATTAACAATAATGAGCTAATTTTGGGCCTGGCAGTTACACATTTCTGAAGTGGCGTGTGGTACTTTGTCTCACACATGTCTTCAGCACAAGTTCCTTGCTTCTCAGTTCTTATTTTCCTTATCTGGATATGTTGTCTTTTCTCTTTCTTCCTGACATCATCAGTTCTGTTTGTTTTGTCACCCTTGCTTGACTGAAATCACACAGAGCAAGGTGCTCTGTGGCAGTTAATATTACTGTCCCTTTAAATTCTTCTTATGTATACATTTCCATATTTCATTTGCACTTGTCTTTGAAATCCTATTACAGCTGCTTACAGAAGTTCCCTCTCTGAAGTTACGTTGTTCTTCATTGTGAAAAATTCTACCATTTGCATCACCTAATTGGCTGCCACAGAAGACAGAAATTTTTGTTTTGGTATACTTAAAACACATAGAAAACTGTTAAATCTTTAATCTCTCTATTTTGACTGAAATTTAGTCTTCTCTCACCATTCTACATCTTTTAAATTTTTTTTTTAATCCTTATAATCTAACTTGTAATAATTATCATCAATTCCCTCATACCTCCTTCTCTTCCCTCTCTTCACTTGATGTTTTGTTGTTGCTGTTTCAACTTTCCCTATGGAATTGTCTTTAAAGACTGAAATGCAATATTTGAAGTGTTGCCTCCATTTAAACTTACTAAATTTTGATTTTCATTGTGGTCATCTTTGGTTCTTAACATTTCTCCTTCTGATCTGCTACACTGAATCCTAACCACGGCTTAGACTTGACACCATATGCACATATCACTTGGAATCGAAATGTTTCCTTTTGCATCTCTGTAGTTTCCCTGCATCTTCTTATAGTGCAGACCTCAAAGTCCTGGTCTTAACTCCTTGCTGAATTGATGATTGTGACTTAAACTGTGAGAAGCTTAGCTGTCTTCTCACTTTACTTGTAGAGGGCCTGCTTTTGTTGTGTAATAAAGTCCACAAGTCAGAATGGTTCAGAAGCAGCTGGACTGCTTCCTTTTGAGTGATGATTGTAGGGATTGTGTTCAGAGAGACTATTCAGAACCAGGCGACACTTCTGAAACCTGCAATTGGTACAGTGGCTAGTTTGCTTAGTGAAAGCTTTCCTGAAAGAACCTAAAACATCGTGTTGAATTCAATGTTATACAATATCAAATTAGACTTGACAGTCAAGCTAAAAAGTTAAGCAGTATGAACTGCTTCTAAGGTGAGCTTCAAAACTATGTTGAAATTTCTCTAGATTACATGGAAAGTTTTTTTCCTAACTGTCTTAAGCACATCTAAGTGTAATTGCTTTCTGTGCTTACATATGAGGAAGGATGTAAGTTGAAAAGGAGCAAAATCACAATCTGCTTTTGTAAAGAACCAAGTCTAAAAAGCAGGAGCATTTGCTTGCGGGACCATTCACCACTTTGAGATGTAAGAAACTCAGACAAATGCTAAACCTTTGAAAAAAGGATGCTGCATTGAAAACGTTATTTTGACCTTAATGTTACTGTGAAATACTAGCATGTCTCTTGTATTCTGCTAAATGTTTTACCTCAGTAGAGTTTATAATCGCAGATCAAAAACAAAGATACACATGAATTAGTGATTATTTGATTTGTTTTCTTTTTAATGAAAGATGAAATCTCTGTAACTAATGGAATGCTGTGAGCACAAGCAGTCAGCCTATATAATGCTCCCATAAAGACTTTTTCAGTATGTTGCTTTTAGACACTACCTGTTTTTTTTGGTTTTCTTTTATGTATAGAGTTCATATATTCTGTGGTTCTTACTGAAGCTGACTTTTTTAGCAACCTTTTTCTTCATTGCTGTTATTATTGTGTGTTTAAAACACACTGATTTTCCTTTCCTTTTTTTTTTTTTTTTTTTTTTTTGCAGACAACCAAAAGAAACAATAAATCAGTGCTTATTTTAGCGAGCTTATGAAGTGAATGAATGTGAAATAAAAAAGACAAATTGTCACACAGCAGTGTTTTTCAGAACTCATGGAATATAAAATGTACTGACAGAGAATAATGATGCTTCTAGGAGAATTTTCGTTTTTCATAGCAATTATCTAGCAGTAATAGCTGAAAGTTGGTTTTATGTCATTTTTTCTTAGGAAGAAGTAAAAGGGAAATGAGTGGCTTAGGGTGGTTACTTTTTTGTGTTGTTTGTTTTTAGAAAAAATAAGCAGAACAGATCTGAATTTTCAGTGTTTTTTTCGCTTAATTGAGGTTGCAGTAATTTTTTCAAGATACAGTTTCTTAGAAAAATTATATTAAGTAAAACTGCCTACTGTAAAGTGAAGGAAGAGTTAAAAGAACTTCTGCTGTTAGGGAGGAAACCATCATGGGAAATGGTTTATGTCATTAACTGGTATGTAATTAGAGTAGGAGGATGTGTTTTATTCATATTCATGTAATTTCTTCTGTTTTGCAGTTAGGTAAGGCAGAACAGTCTGGGGGAGATTTCTGTCTACAAGAGTCTGTTTATTTACAGTTAGGCCATAGTGCGTACATTTATGTTCCTGAAAGAATTAAAAGGACTTTAATGCTGTGTGATTCAGAGTTTGAATTCTAGGAGCTTTTCCCTTTTGATCCCTTGTGTGTGTGAGTTCAAATGGTCTTGAATTACTCTGTCATGGTTCCAGTTTTGATGAAATGACATATAATGAAAATGCTTTCAGAATAAAACAATGCTGTGACATTCAGCAATTTTTTATTGAATCTTTGTCATATCTGTCATATAAATCAGACTGTGTAAATGTGTGGTGTTAGGAGTTTGAGTGAAATTATGGAGTGTGGACAGTACAAAGGAGTTATCTGTGATAAAATGATTTTATGCACATGTGCATGCATACATACAGGTAAAGAGATCAAAGCATTAGAGAGAGGAAGAGGATCATGACTGACTGAGGGAATAAGGATGGAAAGATATTGATTTCCATATCACATCTGTATTCATTAGGACTGTCAGTTGGTGTAGATGCCATTCTTTGTTTCTCTCACAGAGAAATGAGGGGGATCTCTTTCACCGACTGTGGCATATAATGAATGAAATCCTAGACCTGCGAAGGCAAGTCCTGGTTGGCCACCTCACCCATGATCGAATGAAGGATGTGAAGCGACACATCACTGCTCGTCTGGACTGGGGCAATGAGTGAGTAGCTATACTTGTAGAAGAAAATAGTGTAATCTCATTATAATACCAGTTTTAGGCTCGATGTAGAATGTTGAAATAAGGAACAAATTTCTGACTGATGTTGCTTTTCTTTATGGATTTTTTCCTTCATTGTTTTTCTGTCCACTGTGTTTTAGCAGTGAAAAATTACTTACAGCTTTTCCTTTCTTTTTTCCTTCCACTAAAGAGACATACTTGCTTCAATTTATTTCACACAGCACTGGTATGACCTGCAAGAGAACTGCAGATAGTATGTTGGAATACTGGATTTCTGCAGTTTCCTTTTAAGTCTTTTAAAAACATATCTGCCCAGATTCTTATGCGGCATAGTGTTGCATAGCTCTGTGTATTAACTGAAATTATATTGGCTGACACTACTTAATCTTCTTGATCTGTGTTCTATGATTCAGTTTCTACTTTAGCATCTTTAGTATTCATCTTGATACTATTCTATCCATCTTTCTTTTATTTGAGTGACAAATAAAAATTGATAACCCCAGTTATATTCTCTTAAGTTGTTTTTTTCAAAGAAAGAAATTTTCATTTGTCTTAAACCCGTGCTACTTCAAATAATATCTCTTCAGTGTTACAGTGTTACTAAATGCCTAACAGTATGAAGACTTGTAGGGATAGAGAATTGTTAGCATAATGCATGATGATAAAAATGATTTCTAAATCACTTTCTGAATACAAGTTTCACAGATCTTGTTACTATCTTGCATAATTTGGAAGGCCAGTAAGCTAAAGAAGTGTGTGCTTGGTATGGTTGGGCAGCTGAGTAGCATGGAAAATGCAAAAATGGAATGTGCTGCTGTTGATCATATTGGCATGCATGCCTTGCTTTTGGTACTGAATTTGATTTGAATTCGGAAATCAGGAGACCAGATGAAATAGGCTCCACAGACAGTAAATTTTGCTGCTGTTATTTACAGCATACTTTGCAGTGCTTCCTCCACAGTAACACTGCATTGCTACATCTGTAGCCCTTTGCTTTATTATAATACATTGTATTTGTCCCCTCAGTGTAGCACTCCTGGCTACTTTGCTAGGTCCCTGGGAATGAAAGGACAAGTGTAAGATTGGTATGTGCATCAGGAGTGATAGGAGCATCCCTTTTCCCTCGCAGTACACTACCCTAAGGCAGTACCATCACTGTTTTATGTGGTCATGAAGATAACAAAACCACTTGATTTCTTTGATCATCAGGGAGGTGACTGAGTCAGTGTCCCTGGAGGTGTTAAAGAAACACTGATGTGTTGTGCTAAGGTATATGATTTAATGGGAAACATTGGTGGTAGGTGGACGGTTGGACAGGGAGATCTTGAAGGTCTTTTCCATCCCTAGTGATTCTGTGATTCATCTGAAACAATGAATTTGACTTTGGAAAACTATTTAAACTAAAAAAAAAGTAAACTGATCTCATAGATTAAAGTCCTGTATATTGGAATAGTAGTTTTTATACCATAACAGGCTGATAACCTAATACAGGCTGATAGTCTACTCAGAGCAGTGCTCTATACCTTGTTCCATAGCAAGCTCTTTTACAAAATGTATGACCCTGAATAGAATAATGCAGAACTTGTGAAGTCTGAATCAGCCTTTGAAAAAGGTGGGTATATTCCTTGAAGCTTGTGACTGAAATACACTTCAGTCACTCTAGCTTTCATAGCAGAAAGAAATACTCTCAGTAGGAATAAGTATGATGTGGATCTTATCCGTAGTATTTCCTCCCCACCCTACAGGTATGGAACTTTTTTCTTTTCTCCTAGAATATTGGTCTTTCCTCATTCTTTGAACCAGGCAACATTCTCAGAATTCTGTTACAACAAACATCATAAGCTGCTACTAATTGGCACAGCTTTAGACTTTTATTTCCTCTGATCTGCCCAATGCCTGTATGTTTTTTTTTTTTTTTTAATATATTTTTGTGCAAGTGTCTGCTGCAATGGCTACAGATGGTTGCAGTGTTGTATTTTATGAAGTGGGCATTTTTCATCTCAAACTTGAACCCAGCTATCATATCTGGGCTGTTTTTGAACCAGAGATGCCAGGCAGTCAGGCAGGAACCCTGAGTTTTAAAAGAATCTCTTTTTGCTTTCAACCCATTACTCTGTTTTGAAAGTAACAAGGTTGTTTTGTGGGACTGCTTAGAGCAAAATTAAGCTTCTTCCAGCACAGGAGTTCATTGTAACAAAGGAGACTCAGCATCCATGAAAGCTGATGTTTAGGACAAAAACAGAAATGGCTGTAAATTGTTTTGAAAAATTTCAAACAGAACAACATAATGAGAATTGGACTTTCCACATCATTCTAAGTTTACAAGTTGGAAGAGTAATGCAATATTTCCTAAACAAGTTTTCTGAGATCAGATGTTTGAACCCTTAGTTTTGTGTAATAAAACCACTTTGCACCTACTTGTGTTTGTGCCAGAGTTACATCTGTTATGCAGATGCCATGGATACTTCTCATCATGTTGTTTTAATCAAGTTTGGGTTTGTATTTATTGTAGTGAGCAGCAAAAAGAATGCTTCTGGCAGTTTTGTTTGGACATCAGATTTTATTGATCATCTCTGAGTTCATTTCCAATGCATCTTATCATCTTAATATGGCAAATCTTTCTTCATTATTTATAAACCAGCCTTACAGTTATTTCACTCTTAAGGTCTCTTTGTAAAATAAAGGATGTTCTGTTTTTGTTAATAGATTTTTTACTTTCTTAAGAATTCAAATTCCATAGAATTTGAGTGCATAAAGAGGAATTTATAGTTTTCTTCTAAATACGAGATAAAACTTATTCAAAACCTTTGAGAGAAACTGTGAAAGCACAGCAAGAGTGACACAAAAGATGGTCCAAAATGTAATTTTGGCTTGATTAAATATCTAAAAAATCCCTTAATGAGCTCTAAAGATGTATTTTTTGCCTAACAATGTCAAGTCTACTACACTTAGCACGAGTGAAAGTGATGTGATTTATAGTATGTACTTATTGAAAGCTTTCTATAGAGAAAGTACTTTACATCTGAAGTGCAGAGCTTAAAAACAGACAAACAAAAAATGAGTGCAGCCACTGTATACAGGCACAGTTTACTTTACATAAATGAGTATGTCTGCCATGGCATCCTTTTTCTAAAAAGCGTGAATTTCAACATCATTTGTTTCCAGTCTTTCAACTTGAAGGAGATGGAATGGATCATGTCAGATCCATCTCTCTTTGCATTCCCTTCTATTTAATTTCTGTCCCATCAGCAGGGTAAACCACTCTCTAACAATTTTTTAAAACTGGTAATAACTTTTGGCATTGAGGTGCTGTTTCCAAATTCTTTTCTTTAGCCCGTAGATTCTTCAATCAAACTCTGACTAAATACTACTCAGTAGTAGAAGTAATTGAATTTCAGGGGATTCTGAAAGCACTGCTAACTGAAAGCCTACGTATCTAATGCTGTGGAAGAACTGTCTGCTCAGAACTGTGATTTCTGAAGTCATCAGTTCCCATTCTTTAAAAGCAAATATTTTTAAGTTTTCTAATCTGTCATTTTTTCTCTAAATGCAGCATGACAACCCCATTTATGATCTTTATTACTTGCTGCTATGCTGAAAATATTTTTTTATTCCTGTTGATTGAAGTGTATTTAATTATTTCATTCAGGAGACACAGCCAAGCAGCTTTGATGCAATACGGTCCAAATTTAAAATAAACTGATGATTTGACATTGTATGGATTTTCTTTTTGTATTATCTTCTGTGGTTGTCATTCAAAATGACAATACCTGTGCAGTTCTCACTGTGCAGTGTCCGCAGTAGGACTAAGAATGGTATCCATTGCACATTTCCTGCGCTGTGAAATGGAATTAAATACTGTGGGAAAAGATATTCCATTACTGTTACGAAGTGACGAAAAGAGAGGAATCATGCACAAACTTCAAAAAAGCCCCCTAACATGTTTGGAGTACCAATTAGTATTTCCTTTGTTAAATGGAATGTTGATGTTAAATGAAGAAAGTTAGTTAAATTTCTTGATTTATTTACTTGTATGTAGAAACTACTTACTGTTATTCTAGTGCTTTATAGTATCTCTTTATTTCTCTTTTTCCTCACATAGACAACTGGGACTTGACTTAGTTCCAAGAAAAGAGTATGCTATGGTGGATCCTGAAGAGATCAGCATTACGGAGCTCTACAGGCTGGTATGTGAATTTAATACTCTGTCCTTGTGCTGACAGATTACATGCTGAGGTTGTCATGATAACTTTCTTCTACTTAATCAAAAGTACTTTTTTGCTCAAATACACTGGAATTTGCTAATGCAATGGGTTTTACTATGATGAAAGAAGATTTATTTTTAATATTTTTTTCATCTCCTCCTCTGCATGGGATGCTTTGATTTTATATCGTCTGTCTGCACACATGTACATTCCACATGTTATTTACTCACAGCTTTGTTTTCTGATATATCATTAAATTTATGAGTTCTAAGATGAATTTAATCTTCAATAATAGCTTATGAGACTCTTCATCATTAGTTCTTTAAGTGGCCCATGAGTCCCATTAGATAACATTAATGGAAATAAAATAACATACTTGTGGTACAAGTATTGTCATGATTAATCATATTGGCTTGTTGATCTCTTCTAATACATTAATGTTAATGGCAGCTGAGCTACGTAGGACAGCTCTGCTTTGGGCATGAAAGCCCATCTTGGTTTTGTAAAAAGAGTACTGGTATTTCTTATTCTGATGTTACATCAAATGAAGTCTAAGAAAGCATTCCAATTAATTTCTACAGGCCATTGCTCATAGTAGTATCGCAGTTACAGTAATAGAGTTCTGAGTCTTACTTGCTTAAAACTAAACTTTTATTTAAATTAATTTTTATTTATGCTAATGCATGTATTTAATGCAGAATATAGAATGTAGGGAAATTGTGATAATTTGTTATGGAGCCAAAATTTTAATATGTGCAATAATTTTTACTGATAGATTTTGAAACTGTATGCTGTCGAGTCAAATGGTAATTTATTCACTCTGGAATCAGTATACCTTTGGGCAGGTTCAAAGTCACATGTAATCGTGTGGAATTATATTGAAGCAGTAAGTGACAAACACTGAGAAACCATCAATCATAAGAAGAAACTTACAGAAAAAGAGTAATCCAGAAAATTAATGATGAAACTTGTGGATTGTACTTTCAAAAATAAAGAGAAAAAAAAGATCCAAAAAATGTTTGGTTTGGGGGCTCAGTAACTTACAAAGATTGCTGTTTTAAAATTGGTTTTGTTACGACATAAGAGAAAAACAGTATATCACCTTAATTGTTGACTAAAATGGAAAGATATAAACTGTAAAGTCAAATCAGGAGAGCTTAGTAACTTTTACATAATGTTCTGCCAGCGATTAGAAAATACAGGAGTAATTTTTTCCATTTAAAAATACTTCTATGTAGTCTTTTGCCAAAGCATTCTTTGAGTGCTTGATTAGTAGAATATCGGATCATTAACTATTTAAACCAGCTATGAAATATAATGTGGTTACAGCACAGACATTTAAAATGGGTTGAAATTCTTGGAGCAGAAAAAAGGCAAACTTCTAGAGGTTACTGCTTTTCCAAGGGGCAATAATGATGCAGTGTAACGTTGGAAAGTGGCTTTCCTACTTTCTCCTTCTCACATTAAGGAAAAAAGAAGAAAGAACAAAGCACTGTTACAAATTAATACTGAATCAAAAGCTTAAAAATTGGGAAGAAGAAAGTAATCCAGTATTGTATTTTTTTACCTTTTGTTTTGTTCCTAGATCTTTACATTTAATTCAAACTGACTGCTGTGTTTTTTGTGATATGTTTAGATGGAGCATCGTCATCGAAAAAAAGACACGCCTGTACCAGCCAGCAGCCACCATCTTTTTGTTCAGATGAAGAGTCTAATGTGCTCCAATCTGGGAGAGGAACTGGAAGTAATCTTCTCACTCTTTGATAGTAAAGAAAATCGGCCCATCAGGTAGCATATAATTTTTCAGTAGGATACTAGTTTTAAATTGTCACTGCGCACTGTCTGTTTTGATCTTGGTAATAAATTCCACATTGAGAAACAAGATTTTTTTTAAAATTTGTTTCGTAATCCAATTCCTATACTTAATATTTGCCAATATAATTTTGGATTGAAATCATATATTTTTCTCTGGCTTTTTTACTTATTTCAGTTTTTAGCTGGTTTTACTTGAGAGGGAACATATATACACCTGTGCATACAGGCTGAATATTAGTTTTGTGTCTCAAAGGTTATTTTTTAGTATCTCTGTTTTCCTTTCTCCTAATCAGTGCACATTCAAACTTACAACTGTTGCTTGCTTGCTCTTTAATATTCATAAGATGAATTCTCCTAGGTACCTCCAACCAGAGAGCTTAGTGAATTATGGAATCTTTTTATAATAGGAGCCTGAGGTGCATGCTCTTAATGAAGCAGTCAAACCTGGTCTCACATCCATTTAGGGTTTGCTGGCCTTTTTTTCATCTGGGAGATGATCCTGTAACCATTCTTCTGCTTATCCTAGAGCTGAAAACCTTTTAATTTTTAAATGTTCACTACTTATTTCTATTCCTAGCATGTTTCTGGCCAAGAAAGAGGACCAGGGAATGAACAGGATCAGAATCATGATGCACTTAGCAGATATGATTTATAGGGGGAAAGCAGAGTTGGTGGATGAGCCTTCTGAGTTCTGTGTGAGAAATATGGCAGGAAGATTGAAGGAGTGGTGCCACACTAAACGCTCGTATACTGGTGATGGAAGACTGGTCAGAAGGCTCATTCAGAATTTGCTGCTGCTCATTACTTGCTGTATTACTTGGCGTATTCTTTCTGTGTTCTTACTACAGGTACTGGAGGCAACATACGTCAGTCTGATTTAAGGGTAGCCACTGGAGAAATGAAAGATTAGACTTAAAAACAAATTGCACTTTAGATAAGTCAGAATACAAATGCACAAATAGAAATAAAACCTGTTACAGTAAGCCTGCTAATAGGATAAGAAGTGTTATTCATAATGTGTGCAAAGCCATGACTGTGTACTAATTGTCTTTATACATGTGATAATAGGAATTTGGGGCATTGCACATGCACATTAGACTGAATTTGGCAAAATGATTTGTGTGCTATGTAGTTGTGCAAAATAGCTACCCACTATTTTGAAGGAAGTTTATACTGAATAAATTGATTTCTATAGCTAATGAAATCTTTAAATTGTTAGAACATTAGCTGCTAAATACTGACCTGGAATGCACTTTGGACATTAGTCACCAAAAACAGTTTACTGTCATTTCTGAGAATTAAATGTGCATCAGGGCACATCTTTTGTGTTCGTTTCAGTGACTGGCATAGCAGGTGATGGATTTAGATGAGAGCTTCAGACCTTGACAGAAAACAATTTGAGTGTTATGGATTGCTGAAAACAAGGTTATGGCAGTAGTGGTTGTATGAAAGCAAATGGATTGGATTTCACATTCACATGAAAGCGCAAATTCTAGAGCTGTTTGTCACATGCTTGCTGTGATCTGACCTTTAGGTATTGATTCCTGACTCCAGTGTCTATTTGCAACTGCTTTATTTTGTGTGAACTTCCTCATCCCATTACTGACAAACCTTGAAGAAGCGTGTTGTCATGAATCCAAACTCCTTTCTAGAACATGCGAGGAATGACAAGATGCACTTTGGGCAAGCAGTTTGTTGCTATCTGTAAAACAAACACACACACCTCCACACCTCTCACAAATTAAAAACCCGGGAAACACATTGAAAAAAATGAAAGCAAGGGAGTTTTCATAAGAATGGATTTAATTTCAAGGTATATATGTATCACACCACGAGTTGGAACGCAGATGTGTCCAAGCTGTGGTCTTTGTGGACTAGATATGCAAGCAACATAACTGCATTGTCTAAGATTTAAACCAGGGCTAGTTGGGCTTGCTGACATGGCTGTTGTGCTCTTGCTTAATATGTGCATGGCACACCTACTCTATATTTCGGTCAGTTGAGCGCTTGTTAGAGCATGTAAGTTAGAGTAAAGTCTTGTGTATATGTGCACAGCAATATGATATTTCGTTCAATACAAATTGGCAGGATTTTTCAGAGAGCTTTATGCCCTTGCTAGTGCTGACACATGCATGCAATAAACCTTGAGGAGATGATGTGTGAGAAGTGACTGTGTGCACAGCCGTTGGTTACTGAGCTTCACACCCTGCAATGAAGACAAGGCCTACTGGCAGTAAGAGACATGTGAGCTGCAAAGTGTGATACCTGGATAGATGTAATCTTCTGCTAATGCTGGATGATAGTAGCATGTAAAAAAGCTGTGTTTAGCGTTACCTTGAGCTGTCACAACCTACCTAGGTGATTTGTTTATTGATTTCCTGAGTCATTGCTAAGCAGCCCACAAGAAAAAAGCAATAAAAATACTAGATTAAACTTTTGTTAATACCACAGATAAAAGTGAGAAACCATATATGGCAATTTGTCCTGAAACAGAACATCTGATAGATAAAAATATGGGAATATACATCACTTATAATATATGTCTTTAATTTCATGGTTACAGTATTAGAATGGGGGGTTTAATTTCTTTGGGATTTTTTACTTTTTACTTAAATTTTAGTTTTGCAAGTACTACGTGTGTACCAAGCTTTCCTCAGGAGGTAATTCTGCTTGTTTGAATGTGACAGTTGGAATGCACAGTGTCAAGTACAAGTCCAGAGGTTAAAATTGCTCCAAAAATATGACTTTGTGTAGATATCAATCTGGTGTTTATTTTCCAGCTGATGTAAATACACATAAAATGGGTGATCTTTGTTGCCTCTTAAAGGAGTTCTTGTGGAGAAAGTAAAAAGACAAGAACTGAGATTTAATGATAGAATTTCTGTTCTGATATTTTTCTGTCTTAAGATTACCTTAGCTTCTTATCAGATCAACCTATGATCTCTGTATATACTTATTTCACTTTTTATTAACCCCATGTTCATGCAATTGAAATAGCAGCTTAAAAAACTGTTGGGGGACTAGAAGCAATGTTGTCTGTATTTTCTTGTTGATAAATTGTTTTTTTCCAAACCGAATTTGTTCTACATTACCTGTTTCATGCATTCAGTGAAATCTTTTGCACAGAAAGAAATTTTTACCCTGTTCAGAGAATATACTTGATACTTTATTGTGACATATATTAATACATTATAAAATGATCTAAATCTATTTGTATACTGCTGCAGAATTTGTAGAGAATATTTTCATTATATTTGGAGTGTTCAAAGATTTTTGATAAGAGGATGTAATTTGTTGCATGCATAGAACAATATGATCTTATGATCTTTACATAATTTACAGCTATTATTTTTTTCCTGATCAACTGTGCTGTGAAATCATTTGGAAGGTTTTCATTTTCTTCTTCCTTTATTTTAAACCTATCTGAATTTATTAATAATGTGGATAACGTGCTGCTGTGGAAAGGTCTGAGCTTCAGGGAAGGAAAAAAATAAAAGGGAAGAGGAGGGTACTTAACACAGAGAAGCTGTGGTTTAATAGCTGAGCTTTATATTGGAGTACAAGAAGAAGGCTGTCCTTAGGACATTGTAAAATTATAGTTTTCTGAGACAATATTAAGAACTCTCATACTCAGAATATTGTCACACTGTTCATATAGAACAATGATGGAAAATGAAACTTTTTTTTGGTTGCTATAGTTATAGATTCTTTCTGAAAAAAAAGCATACCATAGCAACTGTGTCAAACCAAATTGCAAGCAGAAAGCCCTGGTCTTGCTTTTGACAGTGAGGTTAGAATTCTGTCTAATAATAAAATATAACATAGTGATGTGTAAGAAGAATGTTGTTGTATAGATATAAAATAGAAAACTGTGATCCTGAATATCAGCACACAGCTTTTGTCTAATTTTCATGTCTTCTATGGTTCGCCTTAGGAACTAAGTTCAGTACGTCTTCTTGGCAGGGCTGGATTCCTACACTGCAGTGTTACCACTGTTTTTCTTTATAAAGACAACCAGATGAGGAAAAGGAGAATACTAGTGATTGCAATTCCTTCTATAAAATATTTTAAGGATGATTGCTCTAGCTTAAGAGGCAGTCCAGACTCCCTGAAAGATAGGGTATGCAAATCTAGATATTTGAAGGCGTAGCAAGAAACTGAGCATAGACCTTTGTTTTCTGAAGTACTTAACTTGTTAATATGTTTTTCAACTACACCACAACTTTGTTGCTCTTTAAAAGAAAATAAGCAAAAACATCCAAATTGGTTTCACCACTCTTCATATTTAAATTCTGTATATGCTCTTCACCATTTTCTCTAAATTGATTGTGTTTAGTTAGAAAAGTGTATAATATGTTACCACATGGAAAGTCTGTAAAAGTAAAAGGAAAAGGAGAATACTTGATAGCATAAGAAATGTATGGTTTAATAGCTGAGCTTTATATTAGAGTGCAAGAATAAGGTTGTCCTTAGGCCATAGTAAAATATTAGTTTTCTCAAGCAATATTAAGAACTGCCTAGATTAAAAGACCTCTGATTCATGCTCTGGAATCTGTTTAGATGGAGGTATCTTGTGGAGTAATGAGCGAAACTCCAAGATTAAGGCTTCTGCCAATGCTTAGCATTTCTTTTTTGTTTAATTTTAAAAGGTTTCATGATGAATACATGGACTGTATGATTTGAATACACCTCTGAGGACGTGAATTTAAGATCTTTGTTTGAATTATGTATCTAGACTTCTACTACAGTTAGTTTTAGTCGGTGAAGCTTAGAAATGTTCAGCCGATAAAATGTCTGTATGTTGTTGGTTCTTTAGAATCCATCAACTTGGTTGATTAAAGAGCTGCCCACTGTACCTGGCAGTAATTTTGAGCTGAATCCATCCTGTTTCTTTCTTGCTTTTTATGTGGCTACTTTAGGTCTCCACAAAGTTTGAGCCTTCAAAATCAGAAATAATTGTTGTTGAAAGAAAA